AACTGGCATACAAAGATTCTGCACGAACAACATTAAAGTTTTTTTAACCACACCCTTTCTTTAGTCTTTCATCAAGAAGGAATTCTTCATCTTCATGACTCATCCTGCATCCGCACTCCACAATAAAATGAAATGACAAAATGCAAGAATAGTCACTTTTTAGGCAACACTTAAACTTTCCCTTTTCAAAACAACATCTCAGAACAATATGGGATTGATATCATTCTTATCACCACCTACATTATCAATTGTTTGCCTACAAGTGTTCTAGATTTCAAAAGTCTTCAAGAAACATTTCAAAAATTTTACTCAACAATAAGTGTCACAAACCATCTAGTCCCTCAAATATTTAGGTATGTTGTCTTCATTCATATTCATCAAAGAAGGAAACTTGATCTTCAATCATAAAATATGTACTTGTGGGATACTCCTCTAAAAATAATACAAATGTTACCATCTGCGCACTCAAAAATTTTATGCATATGCAAATGTTACATTTGTTAAACAAGAATCCTACGCCACCCAACCTTATCTTCAGAGAGAATCATTGGAAAATAAAGATTTTATCCTATCATCTTTGCCACACACCTCAACATCATCACCACATGAGAACCTTTAAAATCTACCAGAAAATTTGTCTACTCAAAAGATCATATCAAACACTAGGTTTCTTCAAGCATATACAAGGCAGAAGATGTCGAATATTGAGCCTAAGCGGTCCAAGAAAGCATTAAAAACCTTCTTTATTTTATCTTATAGGTTTATGTCATCTTATAAGTACTCAACATTCCATAAAAATTTCCTCACAATTTTGAAAATTAAGTTTGTTTCTAACATAACATTTGAGGCATTATCCAGCGAAAAATAGAAGAATGCTATAAATATGAAAATGTAGATACTTGAGAAAACCATATATGAAAAGCAGTGGATCTACCAAAAGACAAGAAATCAAAGAGATGCAAATGGGTCTTTACAATCAAATACAAGGCAGATCGAACAATAAAAAGTTATAAAGCGAGACTAATGACAAAAAGTTATACACAGACACACAGGATAGATTACTAGAAGACACTCATATCACTAGCAAAGATGAACACTGTGCAAATCTTATCGTCATTAGCTACTCAATTTTGATTGGTAACTACAATTTAATGTAAGAAATATTGGAAAACCCTTACTGTGACAACGAATCAGCCATAAATATCATCCACAATATAGTGCAACACAACCGAATCAAACACATCGAGATCAATAGACATTTTATCAAATAAAAACTTGACAACGCCTAACACGTACCTCATACATGCCTACCAATTTTCAATTGGTTGATGTGTTAATTGAAAATTTAAGCAATCTGGCATTCCAAATTCTTATTAGTAAACTGGGATTGATAACATCTATTCCCCAGTTTGAGAAAGAGTGTAAAAAAAAGTAAATTATGTTAAATGGTATAAAAGTAAATTACACGCTTTGTAATTAACTGAAATTTATTGTCTATTTCCTTTTCCCATCCTAGAAAGGGAAGACATGAAAAGGTTAAACTATGTAAATTCGTTTCAAATCATCCCTCAAAAGTTCATACAAACTGTTTTCATGCAAAACTTTGAAAGGGAACAAAGGTAATAGTGAAGCCTATTCAAATAGACTATCACATGTTTGCATTCTATCATTTTTCACAACCATGCTAGCAATGGAAAACAAAAAAAGACAAAAACGAAAACATAAAAAGTAGGATTGACCCATCTATTAACTCTTTGTACTCAAAAGGAGAGGTCAATATGTCAGTCCTATTCATCATTTAGTACTTACATCTAATACATGAATTTGAGCAGACCAAACCCAAAAAAAAAAAAAAGAAAAAATAGTTATATCGTTCTTAGTGAGCCACGAGCCGAGAAGTTTCCTACTCTGATTCTCTTACACAGGAACCTCTTTCTTAAGTGTTCTCAAACCTCACTTCTAATTCAAGCTAGCTTAGTCTCTCTTCTTCTCGGTCCCACGGATATTCCCTCTGAATCTACTAATTTCAAAACTTAGAAAGGTCCTTCTCCAAATTCTTCAAAAGTTCCTCGAAAGAAACCTTAGCTCCCCAATCACTCCAAGATTTTTGGTCTGCCCTTCTGTCCCCTTAAAAGGAGGAAGAAGAAGCAACCCCCTATCAAGCTCCCTCCCCGATTTTTTTCTCTGATTTACGCTGTCTTCTTGCTAAAGAAGATTGAATTTTTTTCAAATTTGAAGTATTTCCTCTCCCAAAATCCCCTTTTTCCGTTTGAATACTGCTCTCTTCCTTATAGCCGCTCATTTCTATTCTCTTCTTACCAAAGAAGAAGAATTTCTTCTAACCAGAAGCATCTGTCCACCCCCCCCCCCCACCCCCCCACCCTCTCCAAAAATCCTCTTTTTCCTTTGACTATTACTTTTTCCTTTATAGCCATTGTTGCCATAACATGACATGAGACACAAAAGACCATAAAATATAATCATTAAACTCAAAGACATTGTCACTAATCCATTTAAGGCACAATTAGACATCAAAATATGCACTGGTTAAGTCCAAAGAAGTTGAGTTTGTAAAATGATCTCGAGCGAAAGGGTATAAGCCAAAAGGTGTGTTATGTGCGCATCATAACTAAACCCTTTAATCTTAACAAACTACTGCCTTTGCCTTTCCAAACCTTTCCTAAATATCAATCTAGAAATTCAAATTAAGCATCGAAGATGTATCTTTCAAACCAAAATCCGAAGACTAGATTTTAATCGAACAAAAAAACTATGAACATCAAAAATTTTTCTAGACCTTTAAACCAAATCAAATGAAACATGATTAATAGCAGTAGAAACAAAGCAAGAAATAAAAACGTATATGCAAAAAGTTCCAAGCGGGAGCCTAAACTAAAAACTCAAACAATATACTTTGAGCCTATAGAACCACTACAAATCCTACAATAATGAATCCTACATAATGAAACCAATAGTAGAGCAAAACTACCAATAAGCGAAACAAAAAATCAACACCTAAGCATATTTGGTAAATAAGCAAAACAAACAATCAATACCCAAGCATATATTGAGGATCCCATCACATAAGAGGGAATCGAGACGAGATAGTATATACATGTCTATTCTGGTTCGAACAACTTCTTGTTCATTCCACAACCTATTGATATGTTGACGAATTTATCATTGTCAAATTTCACAGTCATTTTATCAAAAATATTGTATTCATTCATACGCTGTTCGTCAATTAAACTAAATTCCCGTTACACATCAGGATACTCAGAAGTTTCTGTTAATCTCAAACCTCAATCACGTCAATCAAATACTGCAATATTTAATAAGAATCAAAAGGAAAAGAAAACAAATTAGCTTACCTCGTGAACTTCAACACTAAGAACACCCTTTCCTACTTCTTCATCGAAAACCACCGTTCTTTGCTCCCTCTTCTCTCGGCCTCTCTGAAAACCTTCTGCTCTCCTCTCTCTCTCTTCCACTAAAACTCTCCCAAAATCGCCTCCTCTTCCTTTTTCCTTTTCTCTTCTCTCCTCTCCCGCTCAAACGACGACTCAAGCTCGCTCCCAAAACCGAAGGCCTTTCTTCTCATACCTCCATTTCCCCTTTCTTCGCCCCCTCTCTCTTTCAAATCGAAGGAGCCTTCTCTTATACCGATCTGCCTTTTCGTTTCTTCCTTGTTCGAGCCAGCTCAGATGCGTGCTTGTTTCATCGTCCTTCTCTTCGTCCCTCTCCCTAATAGCCTCTGACTCCGTACATCTCTGTCTCTCTGCTCTCTGTACGTTTTGCCTTCTTCTTGTTCCTTTGTCGTTCAGCAAACCAGAGAAGAGGAAGCTTCGAAAGGCACCGTTCGTGTACGAAGAAGAGCAATGGGGTATTCTGAAACTGATCGGGTTTTAGATTTTCATTTAAATAAAGCAATGTTTGTTTTTACTACAGATTATTAGAAAATATATATTAATAAAATATCAAAATAAACTAATAACTTTTTTAAAAAATTAATATATTAATTATAAGAAAAAAAAAAGTAAGAATAAAGAAACTGATAATTATATATTAAACAAAAAACAAAAACAAAATATATTTAAGTTGAAAGAAATTGATAAAACTAAAATGATTTCTAATAAAAATATAAAGAAATTGTTGTACCTTATTTTATAGTATGAGATCTGCATGATTTTAGAGTTTGTAATTAAATAAAAATTTATATATATATTTGTAATCAAGTAAAAATTAAATTTTATTTTATTATTTAAAAATTTAAATAGATAATTATTATAATATTATTATTTTAAATTTAATTTACCTATATATATGTGTGTATATTATTTTGATCAATTTATAAATAATTATTAGATACATATATCTACATATATTTTTTTTACTAAAATGGAATAATTATTTTTAATTAAATACTATAATGGATAAAGTTTTTTTTTGTAAAGACATATAATATTATATAAATTATATTTTAAAAAATAAGAAAAATGTTTTATATGACAATTTTCTGTATTTCTTATATATATATATATGTATATAAATAGATTTTTTTTAAAAAAATTTCATTCATTTGTCTAGTACATTAATTAATGATGAATTTTTCTAACTTTTTAAGAAGCAAAAGTTATTTGAATTGGAAGTTACTTTTATTTTTATTATAAAGTATGTGGATATAATCTTAACTCAAGTTCTGTTTATTAACATTTAACATAATTTTTTATGCGAAGCCTAAAACCATAATTTGAAATCTTGAACTTTAATTTTTTTTTGTAATAAAATTAAAAATAATTTTACCCTTGAAATCTGTCATATGTCTGGAACCTGTTCATGGATACATGAACTTCAATATACAGTAACATACATATGTACATATATATATATATATATAACAATACGTATGCTGTATATAAAGGCCCTTTGAGTTTTGACTAATGTATCTGGTATTGGGTCTGCAATAATTTGGATTTCAAAGCCTGTTTTCAATATTTTCAATTGCTTAGAAGTTGTTATGGATAATAAAAATTGTCCATGGAAACCTTCTCCTTCAAGCTTTTTTCTCTTACGGGTCCAGCCCATCCAGATCTCTTTACGGACCATCTCATTCATGATCCATAGCCTCTTCTTCTCTATCCTTTGAATTTCTTCTAGTTTTCTCTCCTTCGAAAAGAAATCTCAGAAGATGGCCTGCACGGTTTATAGTACTCTCAGAATCAATCTATCATCTTCAGAAACCGAGCAGAACCATAAGATATTTCAGAACCAGACAAGAAAAAGATGCAAAACCCTTTACCTCCCTACTGATAATTCCCCTAATGCTTGCTCTTTCCACGGCCACACCACTGGTATTTTCTCTTTTCTGATCTTTTCTTACTCTGTTCCTATCCGGGTTTCTTAATTTTCCTTATATATATATATATATGGGTTCCTTTCTATTTTGCTGATTTCTGTTTAGGAATTTCACAGTTCTGAGGTACTGAGTAGAGAGATTTCTGATCTGGGTTTTATTTATTTATGTATTTATCTTGGGAGGTTTGAAAATCTAGGTTGATGTTAAATGTTTCTAATGATGGGTTCTTAATATTCTTATTTCAGCTGTTGTCTTGTATGAAATAAACAAGTTCTGAAATAGTTAATTGAGAATTCAGTGTGGCGCAAAGTGCCTATAAACTGCACAATTCGTAATCTTTGGTTATTATGAATAGGATCTTAGTTTGGGGATTTCTGGATTTTTGCCAACATTTCTGCATCTATCTTAGAATTTCTTTTCTTTATATGGAAAAAGAAGGAAAATCCATAAAAATATAAGAAGATCACCTTAACCAATAATGTCCTCGACTCAAAAAATAAACAGAGAATACTCACCCCTTTATCAGGACTTTCTCTTAGCACTAACCATTTGAATATGAGCATGTCAAAATCATGCTCTTATTTTGATGCACAATAGTTATCTTGATATCACAACTCTGCTCTTAATTTTATTAATATCAATTGTGGATTTCACTGAATCTCTTCCTTAGACCTTGTCAAAGTAATCAAATGGGTACATCATTAGATCAGCAAAGCAAACATTTTATGAAATATCATAAGGTTCATGCCATGAATATGTTTATCATGCCTTTTTAGATTTGAACTAAAGCCATACTGTTCTCCTCTCCAGTGACAAACAAAATTTCAAAAAATCCAACATGGGAAGTAGACTAGACTTTATTCTGCTATCATTTATAACAGGAGTCCTCCATTTATTTGAATATATGTGTGTTCATGTATGTATTTATGTATTTATTCTCCGAGATACTGTTGATGTGAGATGTGGAGATCTCTGTTTATACCAAGTTTTTAAGGTTTGAATCTCTAAAATGCTATGTGTGAATAGATGACATAAAAAGCTTGTTATATATATGTAGGAGATAAGGGATTACATGCATTGGCTCCTCCCCACCAAGGGATTGATGGAGAGTGGAGTGACCGATCTGGTGTTATCGTCTACAAATGGAATGAAAAGAATAAGAGACCAAATACTGGGAGTGCAAATTGGAAGAAAAGATGGAGCTGCTGTGCTGAGTATGATGAAAATGCACCACCGTGTCGACGAGGTTGGCATGTTTCCTATGATGATGGTTTCACTCTGTTCTAGTTAGAAACAACTGCTGCTATTCAATCTCCGGATGAGACTCAGAGCTACAAATACAGTAAACTATATTCTGATTTCAAGGGGTCTCGAAATGAAATTCCATAGGTTTGGTTCGAGGGTCATGACACAGGACTATGTCGTCAATATGGTTTACCAAAGAGTCGAAGTCACAATCTTTAGTCGATTATCTTGAACAGGTTCACATCACTAGGCTGTAAACCTAAAGTGTTTCCTGTGAGATCTCTCCTGTTGGTAGCAGATAGGTAATGTCTCTGGTTATCAACAGGCAAAGAAAACGTAATGTAAAGATTCAATCATTAAGTGGTTTATATACAAATAAATATATATGTGTATGTATGTTGTGTAAGGCTCAAGCAAGCGGTCTAACTAATTGGATTAGTGAAGCTTTAATGGACTTTGACAAATATTATTTTCTGTACTTTGATTGATGCCTGTTTTTTGAGCTTTCCACAAAGTTCTTATAAAACTTATTAGATAGTAGTTGGATTCAAGATTATCAGAATCTTCTATTTGTATATAGTTATATCATCCGTGGCCATAGATCTTAAACCATTTCATATTAATTTGTATATATATATATATATATATATATATATCTTATATTACTAATTTAACTGAGAAATTTTGGCACTTAAAAAACCATTTGGTTATTTTTATAGGTTTAGAATTCAATTTTTTTAAGTACGATTCCAAAGATTTTCGTTCTCTTCATGAATGACATTTCTATGAAGTAGATGTTGAATTATTTAATTTCAGTTTGCAAAAACTAATTTGTTCATAGTTAGTGATATAAATTACTAAACTAATTTGCCCATTTTAAAACAATAAAATTTCTGATCTAAATTACTTTTTATGGGTAAATTTTTTTATAACAAGATTGAAATAAATAAAAAAATGAGTATATATATATATATATATATATTTATTTATATGTGCATAGTTTTTAATTTGATGGGAGGTATAATACATTTTTTTAATTGAAAATAATTTGCAAATTACGATTATTTGTAATGATATGTGTGTGATTATATTAACAATAATTCATAAATGACATTTGCAAATAATAAACTATTGATATTAAATATTAAATTAGAGTTTTGCAAGTTTAACTAAATTAATTTGCTTCACTAATAAATTCACAATTATTAAATATATATATAGGTCTAGCTAAAATTAGCTAACAAAGTGAAATTAGTTTTAAAAAAATTGTAACTCAATGTTTTCGTAAGTGTATTATTGTAGGTACCTACCGATAAGTTAATTAAATTCTTCTATATAAGGAGGAGACAATTGATGTATTTAATTCATCCTATTTTATACAAATGACGATAAAACTCCAATAACTTACTCTTATATTTTGTGTAGTGTTGCTAGCATCGAATGCTAGAGCTCAAAGAAATAGAGTTACATAATGTGATTTTGTATGGCGCTAAACTTAATGGAAAGACTGATATTAACTAGGTATATTTTGTAAAGTGTCATTAAATTTATGTGTTAAGTTTTAATTATACAATTTTGTACGAAATATACACTAGTTTTGTAACGGCCCCGGAAAATATTAAAAAGAAATGAGTATTTAAATATATCGAATGCGGAAGCGAGATCAAAATTTCAGTTAACATCCCTTACACGAAAAACCAAAAAAAACGTACTTAAAATATAAAAGATTAAACTAACTAAGAAAGAAAACTCGAAAATAAACTATGCGTATGACTACAGAGTCTCTAGGCATCCCCTTCGTCGTCCTCCTGCGGAACGGGCTCGGGAACCATGTCTTCCTGATCTGAAATGGTTAATTAAGGAGTGAGCTACACTAGCCCAGTAAGAACATCACGATATCTCACCGTCACGGAGATAAAGGTGGGTAGAAAAACCACAAAAAGACCAATGGAGCATAATTTACAACAAAACCTTTTATCAATAATAAAACTTTTACCATCCACTTACCTTGGTGGAATTTATGAAAACAATATGAGAAAAACAATAACATTATCATAATCATTGAATAATCTAAGCTGTAAAACATAACACTTATCACGCCTCTTGTAATTCAATCATTATACAACATATCTTTTTCTCATTTACCAGCCTACTAGTATCCGTGGGGGTCCATAAGGGTTCCGCTACCCGTTAACCTTTAACATTCATAATCAGTTTTCAGGGCCGTCCCCATACCCCGTCCGGTATGGGCGCCAAAACCATAAACCTCAATACCCCGTCCGGTATGAGGGTGAAACGGGCCGTCCCCATACCCCGTCCGGTATGGGCGCCAAAACCATAAACCTCAATACCCCGTCCGGTATGAGGGTGAAACGGGCCGTCCCCATACCCCGTCCGGTACGGGCGCCAAAACCATAAGATCTCCATGCCCCGTCCGGCATGTGAGACCACAATCCCGGTAGGGTTCCCTACGGACCCGGTCCGTCCACCATCTCCCAGGATATCTAGTCAGGCTGACCCCATCATACAATTATCAGTCTACACAATCTTTCATTTTCCTTTTCCTCAGTCAGCATCATCAATTCACATACAAACAAGCAAACAGTAATTCATGCCAAACAGACAACATACAGTATCAGTTTTTCAGTCATTCAACCCATGATTAATAAAAACGTAGTATATGCACACAAATCTGTAAAATGAACACATCAAACCTCATTTTGCATTTAAAGCTGTAAACAGGCCAAATAACAGTAAATCACCAATCACACTAGACTCGGGCTCCATTAGCACCTTAAGCAATTTCACACATTCGTTAATTCAAGAAATACCGTTTTATCATTTTGAACTTTAATACCGTGATAGGAAATAGGGTGAGGGGTCCTTACTTGTTTTCGAGATCCGAATACGATTACAGTGCGCCTGCAGGCTGTCCCTAATTTTCCCTGAATTTTTCCCGGGGAACTGAAACACACTAACAGTACCTGCACGTGTTCCAAAAAAATTCCAAATTAGGCCCAGGGCCTCTTTCGGCCCAAATCGCAACTCCGGCACGGCGGCTCCGCCGTGCTCCGGCGACGGCACCGCCGCTGGCGGCGGCGAGTCGCCTCAGGTTGACTGTTTTTGGCCGTTTTTGGCCGAATTCGACCACACTCGCATTGGTCCTTGTCAGAAAACAACCCTAGGGCCCTCGGGGGGCCAAAAAATCACGGAAAAACGGAGCTTACCGGCGGCGGCGCTCTCGGGTGCAGCGGCTCTCCGGCGAGGTTCGTGTTTTGGTGATTCGGCTCTGGTCAACCTGTAGAGAAAAGAATGGTGATCACGGTGATATAAAAATTGCATCGAACGGAGGCCGGGAAGGGCCTCGTCGGAGGCAAAAACCGAGAGGGGGCGCGGCGGCGCCGCTGGGCTTCGGCCGCGTATTCCGGCCGTTTGGTCGGGATTTCGGCTTCGATTTGGCCATAGGAGGAATCAGTGGGAAAAAACGAGTCGGGGGTATGAAATTTACCTCGATCGGCGGTCGGAAATTTCCCCGGTGCGGCGGCGAGTGGCGGCGGGTGGCGGCGGTCGGCCTCTGGTTCGTCTTCTCCGGCGAGCGGCTGGCGGCTAGGGTTTTTGGTCTGGTGTGGGGGTTCTATTTATAACCCCTTGCCTTTTGATCACAGCCGTTCGTTTCGTTTTAATCTGGGCCGTTCGTTTTTGATTGAATCTGGGCCGTCCGTGCGTTTGAATCTGGGCCGTCCGATCGCGTGATTGATCTGGGCCGTCGGATCGCACCCACGCGGATCGCCAACGTGGCTCCTTTCGGAGTGACGCGATCTTGCCACGTGGCAGGCCCCGGTTGGCCGGGACTGCTAACCGAGCCTGCTGACGTGGCTGCTGACGTGGCCCCCCCTTTTTTTTTTTTTTTTTTTTTTTTTTTTTTTTTTTCCTCCTCCTTTCCGGGTGCTACATTATTAATTAAATTGTGTCCAACAGCTATAAGATTCATGAAGAAGGGCATAATACATATCTCTCAATATCTATAAACTATACAGAATAAATAGACTAAGTAATTGAAATATCTCAAAAATACTATATAATGATATAGTTATATGTAAAGTTAATATGTTATTATTTGTATACAATTAGTGTTA